ACTGAAAGCTAGAAATACTGGTAGAAAGTCATTGTTACAGTATGCGACAAATACTGGGCAAGAAGCAACGTTCCGAATAGTGGGAAAAGAGAAAATGTTAATGTGTGCACGAAATACTGGAGAGGAAGCAAATGTGCATGCCTGAGAGAATACTGGGAATGCTGTAAAGTATGCCCGGTAGCAGCCCGGAAATAAAGCAACAACAAGAACAACAACTACAAATACGGCTTACCAAAAGCCGTTAATGTATGCGCCCCGTTGCCTTGCAATAAGCCCTTCAATGTAAAAAGACTTGTAGCGTTATGTTTATGTTTATCAATGAACTGCCCAAATCAGCCCCAGCCCCAAACCCCCTCGCCCACGCCCACGCCCCTGTTGACCTCTGAAATAAGTCATACAACACCACCTCCCACACCCATATGCCCCGAATCCACACACATACACACACACACACACTAGGATATGGAAAGCAAATGTTACATTTGTATAGCTTTATCGGCTTTTTGCTATTTTTAGCTAATACAAAACAAAAATCGGATTTGGACTGCTATGTAACTGTACATTATAACTATAAAAATTGTTTTTTTTTTTTTTAGCATAGATATATATATATATGTATAATTAATATATATGCAGACTATTTTTTTTTTCTATGTTGATAAGGATACTCTTATATATACAGATAAATATATATATATAGCGCCTACGTACTGATACAAACTCAAAAACATTTATATATTAGTCGTTTGTTAACGATTGTAAGCTTAGTCGTAATTGTAGAAGTATTCAACAATCTGTAGACTTACGAAATAAACGTCAAGTTTTAAGTATTATATATGTATATGTATATGTATATGCATATAGGTATGTATATATAGGTATATATATTAAAGAAGTCTGAAATCTGAACTGCTTGCATTTGTTTAATCCATATACAAAATGTAATTTTGAAAATGCGCGCGCAATGACGTGCACCATTTGCTTAAAGATCAGTGTGGTCAGCTGTTGAACTGCTGACAGTGTGGCAGCAATTTACTGACTGAACGCGGCGTTAACAGAAGGCATACTGTGCGTTTACAGGCTGTAAATTGGTTTCGTTCAGAGATTATATATATCTTCTGTTTGAAGTACCATACTTTTTGATAGTAAATAGAGCTCAGCTCTTAGCTATGGTTGAATAGTTTGCTTATAAGCTACCAGTTTTCCTTGCAAAACTCTGCAGACCAGATTTTTTTGTAAAGTTTACTAAAACTATCGATAAATAACAGCGATAAATAAAGCTTAACAGTGTGCAGTGTGGCCGTTTTGGTTCACTCTGCAGTGGCATAGTAATCGCTGCTTTTTTGCCAACGCTCAAGTCGGTCACGCTTTCAGTATCATTTTGTCGGCTGTGAACTGTGAAGGAAATTTGTAGCGCCGCGCGCAGTGCATTTTTTTCTGGTAACCTTTTTTTTCTCCACTTGTACTGTTTTTTCTTGGTTTTTTTTGTTTTTTTTTTTTTTCTTTTCCTTACAATCTAAGACGCAATGCAATATATTTTCGTATGCGTTTAAACGTCGAAGCCAAGAGACATTTACGTGTAATCGAAGCATAAAGCCTGCCTAAAGTAACAACATAATATACATACACACACATACGTATACAGACACATGCGTGTGCATGTACATACATATTGTATGTGTGTGTGTATGTACTAGGGCCCACAATGGGTTTCAGCGTGACGTGAAGTGTATATAAAGAAGCTGAAAAAAAAAATGTTAATCGACGAAAAGAGAAAATGGGAAAAAAGAAAACACGCAGACATTGTGAAATATATACGCAAAACAAATATTGCACAAAAATTATGTTTTTTTTTCTCGAGTAATTTGTATCATTAAAAAAAGTAACATGCGTAGCTATTGCATTTCATTCTAGTAAAACAAAATGCTTAAAATTTTTTTATTTTATTTACAATTTTTTTTTAATGTATTGCACACATCATTTACTACGTACATAGACATATGAATGTAGTATTTGTGTGTATGAGTGTGCGGCGAAAAGACAACGAGTAACAGGGCAGCATTTTTGAGTAACTGTAGCAGTTACTCGCTGTATGGTTTTTTTTTTTTCCTCTGTTGTTTGTTGGTGTCTCAAACGGTCTGTAATTTCGTATAAAACTAAATTCAAAAAAAGGATAAAAATTTGAAGTGCATTGAAAGTGCAATAAAGTGATGTTTACAACAAAAACAGTTTGAGAATCTCTTTGTATGTATTAGTATACATTGCCATACAAAACAAACGAACTCTGTTATACAGTACGTACGAAAAGTATACACCGCATTTAAAAAACAAATAGACTGCTAACAGACTTTCGTTAAAATTCCCATTATATATATACGTATATAGATATATTTAATGATTGTGCACATTTCTAGAGCAGTCAGCATAATTTTGCTGTGTACTGTAGCAGTAAGAGCAGAGACGACAGCACCAAAGCAAAAATGGCAACGAGCCGCTGAAAACGTACGCGCGCACTCACACATAGATAGAGGGAGAAAAATACATAAACACACACAGACAGACACATTCACAACGTCCTCGTTCACTGAGGCCGCCGCCACTCGCTGTTAGCGTCGATGACGAATGCGTGTGAGTGAACGAAGCGCGTTTGTGTTTGTGTGCGTCGTGTATRTGTATGTATGTATGTGGCACCGCTACCGCCCCCCTCGTTGTCAAGCCAACAACATAGTCGCTCTGCAACGTTTTTTTTCTTTTTTTCTAATTCATGCTTTGGGGCTTTTGTATTTTTTTTTCCGTTAGCATCAAATGTGCTCTTTTTTTTTTAAAGCAACAAACAACAATATTCTAGTCAAAGAGTAAGCGGTAAATGGCAAGCATATTACAGTAAGATCATAGGAATATTTACGTTTTACACATAAAACATATGTGTATGTACATATGTATGCATATAATTTGGTTCTTTCGTTTTGCTGGCATCGTGGGTAAATCGAGTTGCCGTCTGTTTTTCATTTCTTTCTCTCTCTTATATATGTACACAAACTACCATTTTGCCTCTGCTTCGAAACACGAAAAAGAGGGGAAAGAAGAGGGCAAACACTTGCAAGCTGCTCTGTAGCGTTCACGGCAGCAGCAGCAGAAGGAACAACAACAATACAACAAAGCGCGTGCATACAGTCGCGTCCCGCTAAAAGTTGTCATATGCGCGCGCTGCTAAGCTACAAACTTCCACGCACATAGTGTGTACACACTGACTCTTTTACGCTGCGAAAAGTAGACCTGCATACGTGTGTATGTACATATGTATGTCATATTTCTGCCTATCTTCTTATCCGTTGTATTCGTCTACCTAAGCGAAATGAACCTTTTTACATGTCCTGCTCGTTCACTTCCGGTTCGTTCGTTGGCTCTCTCCTCTCCGCCTAACTGTGCCTCAAAATGCAAGGCTGCCAGAGTATCATGGTTTTGAATAAAATTGCAATTTCAATAATTTGATTGTGGTGGCATCACTATCTCTGCATTGCACTGTAACGTAACAGCTGTTTTGTCCAATGTGCTTTGAAATAAATGCGATAAGATAAGAAATAATTTTTGTCTGCATGCAATTTGTTGTTTAGTTACTGTTTTGTACACAATATTAATTACAATAATTACTGGGCACGAGAATATTTGAATGCCAGAAAATGTTGGCATATTTACTAAAGCTACTACATTTCCAATGTTAACATTTATCGCTCTGCGGCATTTCTTCAAATTGAGCGATTTGATTCGTGCACCATAAAAGTTAATGCTGTTTAATGCAAACAATATTAACCGGCACACGCGCGCCCGCTTTAATTACGCTGGATTTATGTTGAATTTTATTGCCATTTTTCCATTGAAGAATGTGCAGAACTCTCTCTGTTTCTGTGTTCTCTCCGGCCAAGCAGGTAGTCGCGCCGGCCTTCGTGTATGCTGCATTTCGTTGCCTCTGCCGCCGTCTGAGCTGTTGCTATAGGCTGGGTATGCAGCTGCCGTAGTGCAGAGGGAGAGAGAGAGTAAGAGAGTACGCAGACAGACGGCGATTGCTTTTGTGACAGCTGCCGCATTCTCCATAGTTTCTGTTGTTGTTGCTTTGCCTTGGATTACATATTTTCTGTCTCGCTCTCTTTTTACAATACGTTTTTTTTGGCTCCCCACTTCCTGTGACGACGGGCCATTCGCCTCTCTGAGAGCAACGATCATACAAGTACCTGAGTTGCTTACTCGTCTGCTCGAGTGTGGCGAGTGATGGATGACGAAAGGCAGAGGGGAAGCGAGCGTGGGGCTTGACCAGTTTAAAATGCAATAACATGTGCTCAAAAATAAAGCTTCATTGTGTATACATACATACATATGTACATATGGATGTGCATATCAACTGGCCGGCTGGAGTGCCGGCCTTGCCACATGACATATCTTCTCTTCCGCAATTCGCATTGGTTTTGTATTTCTTTTTTCTGCGATCTGTGATCTTCATTAATTTTGTCGTGGTATTTGTTGTACTTGACTTGTTAGTGCTGTCTCTCCAGCCCTCTGTTATGTTTCCTACGCTGAGAGTTGCCGTTATCAGCAGCAGTTGGACACGCGCACACACACACACACACACACACACACACACACACACACACACACACACACACGCATGTGCATTTGCATTTTTAGCCATTCGATTACTGTTCACAGCTCAGTACTATGTATTGTTTTAGCCCAACTTATAGGGTAGCATATTTTGCCCATATATGAGTAATTCATACAATATATTTTAAATAAACTAAACAACAATTTTTATTGTTTTTATTAACTTTTGTTAATAAAAATAATGTTCACAAAAAAAGTTAATGTAACTTTAGGATGTATACATATCACAGGGTATTTCATCTTCTATATTATCTATTTTCTAGTCTTTGCTTTGCTTTGACATTGTCATTCTTTGCCTCATTTCTGAATTAGTTGCGATCTGTTGCTCGCACTCGCTCGGTCTTATGGGCGAGGTGGCCCGACTTTTGCTCTCTTCGTGCATATGCGCTGATGTCTGTCGTGTGACTTTCTTTTTTGTTTTGATTTTTAGTCTTGTTTGCTTTCACCGTATGTTCAGCGAGATTTACATGTGTAGCTACGTGCTCTCTGCTTCTTCTTCTAACAGAGCTTCTTTCGGTACTTTGAACATTGCTATTGATTCTAACTTGCAACAGCAACAACAGCAACTACAGTTACAACACGCCCTTTCTACGGTCCTTACCAATTGTTTATGTATGATTTTTGGCTATGTATTCGCTCCGGGTTGAGCTCTCTTTATATACTTGTACCGTTGTATGCAGCTGGCTGTGTGTATGTGTGCGTTTAAGAGCATTACCAACACACACACATACATACACAACAGCTTGCCTATTCGTATTCGTTTGCTCCCTTTTAGAGCGACGTTTACGCAGCTACGCATTTATTGTCCAGCCCATTGCGATTCAGCGCTGCTACGGTGGCTGCTGCTGCTCCTGCTGGGCGGCCGAGGGGAGGTTTAGTGGTGGCTGCGTTGGCTTGTCCTCAATTTCGGCTTAACTGTGTCCACGCTCTGTGTATTTTTTCTTTCCATTTCCAATTTTTCTTCTTGTGTGGAGTGGAACATGCGCCGAAGAGCTAACCCCCACTCGCTACAATGTTTTTTTTTTCTCTCGTTTTCTTTGACTAAACTTCGCCAGCTTTGAAATGCGCTGCAAAGTTTATTGGGTTAAGGACATTATTATAATATTTCCCTAGAAAACTATTGAGATAATTATGCAGGGTTGTATTTTTAAAGAAGTTCCTTTGACATAAATTTGTTATGCAAATTATTATGTACAGTGACGAACTAAATTATTGGCACAGCAGGTTTTTCAACTTTATAGCAATTTTTCAAGTATTTTGAAACATTTTTTTAATGAAACAAAAAATTTACTAAGAGGAATAAGGTATTTATTAAGTTATACAAAAAAAAAAAACCTAAATTTTGCTAAACAAAATTATTGGCACAC